GCACATCCCATTAATCATTCCAGCCACCTAGAAATGAGACCTGCAATAAAATGGAAAAGGAGGAAAAATGAATAATTTAGTAATTGATCTCTATCTGGAAAAACATACTGTTCTAAAATAAACAATTCTCTCTTCACAAGCTGGAGAGAGTCTTTAACATTATTTACATTTAAAAATGCAATTAATATATTCATGTCTCTTTAAGAAAAAATAAAAAAAATATATAAAAAAATCTTTCTATCAGAGGGAAGAGCCAGGCTTCAGAATTTCTGTTTGTCTTATTTAAAAATATATAGCTAATTTCTTGAGGGCTGCTAAGAGCAAGAGAACCAGAGGTAAGGCTTTGTATGACAGATCTTTTCAGAGATCAGCTGTTCTGTGTCTCCATACACTTCAAATCCATACAAAGGGCTCTTGGATGTTTAGTTAATATCTGTACTCGAAGAACTGCAAAAATATCTAAGGCCTTGCATTATCTTCTGTGCTCTCATCAACAAGCATATCACTATAGAGCTGCATCATGCCTTTAGGAAGACTTAACTCATACACTGCCATGGCACAGGGAATGCGTGAACCCAGCACAGCAGACAAATATTTGTGAAAGGAAAAGAAAAAGGATGCATCTGCTTAGAGAAATGTCCTCTCAGAAGCAGCAGTCATCCTTCTGACACCATGCAGGGAACTACGACCCACTGGGGAAAGACCCATCTACGTGCTGAAAGAAGCTCTGAAAGAAGGTCATGAAAGCCACTGGAAAAAAAATCTGCCTTGTTCTTATTCGCATCCTACCGAACAATAACCTACAATGTTTCCCTAAAAATTTATCTGTGTGCACACACAAACATCCACACACCCCTTTTGTTTTATATACACCTAAGCAATTGGCTTTAGGCTACCCAATTAAGCAAGTAAGTGTACAGCTTTTCTCCAAATCACAGGAGCCAGAATCATGAAATACTACAGTAGAAAAGGTATTTTAAATGTTAAAATTGCACAGTAGCCGGATGACACTGTAATAGCACAAGCACTTGGCATCTCTATTAAAGACTTGATTTTTTTTTATTATTTTTTTGTAAATTAGCACAGTTCACTGAATTGTTAACTTCCCTTACAGAATGTAAACAGGATTTGAGAAGATGGATGAATCAGGTAAAATTCAAGTAAGAGTCTGAAAACTGGAGCATGAAGTAACTAAGCAACAACCCCTCTGAAGATGCACTTTTGTCAGGATTTCGGCTTCTGTAGACCTGCTGCTATCCTCTCCCCTTCTTAACATCTTATTAAAGTTGAGTTTATAACATGAAGCTTGAAACATTAGTATCAGCTCCCTGCTTAGACCTAGTTAGTATATTTTTGTATAACTGTGAAGTTTCACTCAGTGCCCCTGTGGGCTTATCCATGGCAGGAGAAGAAAAGATGCCCCTGATCTCTCCTGTTGAGCATATTTAGTAATCCTTCAGACTTCTAGACCATTTCTATTTTCCTGTATCTTCTAAGGTAAAATGTCTAGTTAGTCCTCTGTCAGGAGTTTTCTCAGGCTCTTGAATACTGTTGTCACACTTTTCCTAATCCCCCCCTTTCAGTCCCATTCTTTCTGAGCTCAGGCCAAAATTGCAAGCTGTGCTTTAGCTGAGACCACAGGCATGGCTTCATGCAAACGTTGGATGATACTCTCCTAGTTACTCAATATCTTACTATTCTTGAAAGATAAGCAACAACCTAGTATTGCATTTGGGTTATGATCACGGCTGTAATTTGAGCAAGATCTAACTCAGCCCTTCTGGATTGTGCAGGATCAACTGCTCTCACTCTCACTCAGTCACCCTCTCTTGCTTTATTCACCTCTAATCTCTATCCAGCACTGCTCTGCCCATTTTTCAGACAATTTTACGGTTCTTTTAAATTATTTATAGTTAGTATTGCTTTAGAGCAGACTAAAAAACTAACAAATAATTGTTCCAGTCTCAGATTTAGTTATTTCACCTCTCCAGCCCACTCTCAATACCAGCAATAAATGGGTTAACAACAGGAATCTCAGTCAATTTGCAGATGTCTAAAGCCAAACTTCAGGTCTCTGTCTACCTTATCAGATTAGCCTAACTCTCTGCTTTTCCTCTCCTTTCCAGCCTGCAATCACAACAGCATTTTGTCTCTGACCCATTGCTGTAATCTTTTTTCTACAGATCTGTGGAAGAGTGGTCACTCACAGCATTTTGTTTGCAATTACTCATGACTTCTCCAGCTCAGTTGCCATTCTAGGAGATCACTGAAATGTCAGCCTGCATTGTAAAACACGTTAGTTGACTATATTGTATCATAATCTCTCCAGTACTTTACTATTGTTTTTAAATGAGGATTTCACATTGGTTGCCAAGTTCAGATGCAGTGTTGCTTAAATATCTTTCTGGATTAGTTAACTGTGCCTGTAAGTGATTCACAGATGAAGCCCTGGTTTTAGCAGAATTTATAGAAGAGACGCAAGCTTCAGATCACTACTGAACCAGCCACAAATCAAAGCCCTCCGGCATATGGAACCCATCAGTCTAGCAGAGGTTTACTGTTGGAGCACTCTGCAGTGTGTGAGGAGTTACAGACATCAGCCAAAGCAGTGCTTCTCCCAGGGCTTTGCTTGTGCTGGTACTGTCCTGCTCTCTTCATAGATTTGCCATGCACCAATACAGCATCACCGCCGTTTCTATTTTAATTCTGGTATCCAAAACATGGTCTGTTCTTCTAGAAGTCTTTCAAGGACTCCTCTTTCCTTAAAGCCCTCAGATGTTAAATTCCCATCTTCAAGTAGAGCAATGGCTAAACAACAAACAGCTGCCATGCAGAGATTTGAGATTTTGATACAGGATGGGAATCGGGAAAGCACGAAGAACAGGATTAAAATGAGAAGGGCACAGTCTTCCACGAGTTCAGCTGCATGGAACAGGCAGCTTTGTCAACTGATACTTATTCCCTCTATTCTGAGGAAAGGCAACCCAGACACCATATACCTCTGAGGATGAATGCTGGGAAAGAACAAACCAGAAGAACCTCATTGACACAATCAGCATTTGAGAAGAAGGAATGAGAGGAGGAAAGACAACCGGGCATGTACAAAATGGTCCAATTTCACTTCCATCATAGAGAAAGAGTCAGAGGCTACTGAAAACATACTAGAGGCCAGTATGACAGCGAGGTTATTGTAAACTATAGCCACAATAAAAAATGCTATAAAATCACAAGGACGTACTGGTGTTATTACACTTTCCCAAATAAATGTTAGCACTGAAAAAGATCACATGCAGAGACATACTCTGAAAACTGTCTGACAGCCCTCACAAAACAAGCAGTGCCTCCTCAAGACTCAGAACTTCCCTGACCCGGTCTGCCTCCCTTTCACTTGCAGGAGCAGGGCTGGAACCTCAGCATCTTTGTTCCATGTGAGACCTCAGTGGGAGGTGTGACACACACTCAGAGTGACACACAGTCAGTGGGAGAACCTACAAGAGCTCTCCCATAGGTACTTGGCCTGCACGTTGTGTGCTCACCAATCTGCTAAGCTACTGAACACCTCATTATTGAACCAAATGCCACCACACCGATTGAAATATTGGTCAAAATACATTTTTGTGTATGTGTATTTACCCCAAAGTATACAGCACACAGAATAAAAAGAGAAGAATAACAAATCCTATGTATATGCTTCCCCTTCTCCATCACAGTTGCATTTCATCTAACTCACCCTGGAGTCACCAGCTCAGTCAGGAGAGCAGCTCTGCTCTCAGTGTGCTCCCCATTTGCCTGTCAGTTGAGCATGATGGGTGCTGAGTAACCCTCCTTCTTCCTTATGCCAGCATCTTTATGGCTTTAATATTCTGTTTGATCTGAGGCTGTGGGAGGAGTAAGCAATCTTCTGCTTGGGTTATTAACTAGGTAGGGAATACTCCCCAAGAAATATATTCCCCAGCATTTCCTTTAGATCTCTTATCCAAGCCATCCATTGTTGTTTTATTTTTGTGTGTGTGTACATTTTTTTAATATTATTTAAGGTTGTTTTTTTTTTTTTATATTTAATGTTACACATTCTGGCAAGTGGATATAATGCAAATAATCTGAGAGCCAATGTTATTTATAACATTACTGCACATAACACCCTCATTCTCCACACCAGCCTTTTACTCTATAAAAATATACAAGAGTAAACAGGCACTCCATAAAAAGAAACCCAGGCATCCTGAGTTAAGAGTGAACAGTTAAGAACTTTGCAGCAATGAGTATTACCTCACCTCCTTGTGAATAATGCCTTGCTATTTAGTCTGCTTACAGGACGATGCACTCTACTGCAAATACTATTCTGCCATATCAGCTTTCCTCTACAATTTTAAATGCAAATCTAGAAAATTATGTATATGGAAGACCAAACATCTTGTTTGAAAGACTGGGGAAAAAAAAGAAGAAAAAAAAAAAAAAAAAAAATTGTTGAAAATCAAGAGTATAAAAGAAGAAAATTATACAAACCAGAGTGAAATTGGAAAACATAGGTAATATAATGTTGAAGAAAAAAATAATGCATACTTTGAAAGGTAAGATGTCACTGCATGTGAAAGGGGAAGAAAACAACTAACTACTTCAGCTGAACAGCTTTGTCCAACATCCTGCCCAGGCCTTGTGAGTGGCGCAGGTTTGCATCAGTTGTCTTTTCAGTTCCTTTGGAGGCACTAATACAGGCATAAGAGTGTAACTTCAGATAGAAATATCTACTACTCAGGTTTCTTGCTCACCAAAGATGAGGCACATCCTTGGTTAGCCAGGTAGGTTTCATCTTTTTGGAAACTCAGAATATTTTGAGAGCACTTAGCCCAAATTCCCAACAATTCTGCCACCAGGCTGAGAAGTGAAGAGGCACCCATCTGTTTGTTCTGTGCTGTCTGATGAAGAAAATTCTTGGAATAATTTTACAGGGAAGCTTTTAGAGAAAATAAAAATATTTATTTTTTTTACTCTACTGAGGATTTCTGGATTCACACTGACATTTAACTGAGCAATTACTTAGCATGCTGTACACTGTATTTCACTTACAACAATGGATATAACAAAGTTCCCTTTTCCCCCAGAAGAAGACAGGAAGGTACATTTTTCACAGGAAATTACAGTTTCTCAAAGTCTGGGGTTGTGCTTTTTTTTTTTTTTTTTTTTTTTTTAAAGGGTCAAATGAGGGAAAATACATTTGTCTGAAAGGTTCTGTGGTGGCACTGACACTGAGTCTGGGCACACAGAATGTGTTTCTATGACACATTAAATATCCTACCATGGTCAAACAAACACACAATAACATTTATGTGCAAAGGAGCCACAGCCACAGGTCTGCTGCATCCTCTGGAATGTATTTCAGAAAATTTGAGCCACCATCAGGCCACTGTAAGACAAAAGAAAAAAGAACAAACGTTAGCAGAGAGAACTCCCATTCATGCTTGCTGTTCAATAGGACTTGCAAGAACATTCAACATATAATAGACAAGGAAAACTAATTTGGCTCGCTGTCCTGCCCAGCTCTGTGACAAGCAAGTGATGTGGTCTGATTTATGTAATTTAGCAGGGCACTGGGGCACCAATGAGTACCCAAAACTACAAAAGATTGAGGAGGTGAAGCTGCATCACACCATGCCCAACATTCAGCAGGGCCAACTTCCATTCTACGTGCTAAGTAGGCATTTCTACGCACCTGTGCAGAGAAACTGAAAGGATGCAGCATAATGTTTTGGGATTATGTTACTCGTGTTTTTAATGGCATGCTGGGGAAAGGTAAGATGGCAAGCATGGGATTGTAATACACCACCTAGCTTACTGAAAGGAGCAGTAAAACCTTTTGAACAGATACAACAGCAGAAACAATTAAGGAAACTCCTTCAGTTCAGATCTACCTGGGGCACATGAACAGGCATACGAGCTGCCCAGAGGCCCTGGAGAGCAGTTACTGAATTAGTAAGGAATGCAATGACTAATTGGTGATTGTTTATCAAATAATACAGCAGCGTTTCCACTGTACTCTAAGGGAGATGGAGGAATAAAGCTGTATCAGGTGCCACTATTGTGAACTTAGTATATTTCTGAGATATGTAAGACATATTCTTTAACTCATTAAAGCGTCCATATGCAGATGAGACAGAGGCTGGCAGAAGGCAATAAATGCATTTATTTCAAGTGCTTCTGCTAGTTCAAAGGACTCAAAAATAATCAGTTGTCTAAAAATGGATGTGCTTTGGAGAGGGAGAGGAGGATTTTGAGGTGGGAGATAGGGATGGTAAATTAAGTACTTATTAATATAAAGCTTTTGTCTTCCTCAATCTCCCTTTGTCCCAGATATATGAAACTGAGAGACTTTTCTGCTATGCTCTCTCAATATACTTGGCACATACCACTTTCTCTGTCTCTTCTGCACCCATATACTGTCTCTCTCCATAAAGGGGCACGAACTGAGAAATTTAAGCAACGTTTCTTCACAGAAGAGAAGGCAGTATATAAATGTGGGAAGGAGACTTCAAAAGGAGATTCTCTCAGTGATGCCCAAGAAAGTGGTTTGGTACTCCTCGCTGCCTGGAAGCAAGGCTACCTAGGACTCTTTATCTCAATCCCCACCAGTACTATCCTCAGAAATAATAAATGCCCAAGAAGGAAAAAACATCGGCATGATGCTACCTTGAATTTTTCTCAGCCTAAACTTTAGGCAAAAAGTGAGAGGAATAGTTAAAAAAAAAAAAAAAAAAAAAAGAACTTGTGAAATCCCTGGATTTGGTATTTATTTATCACATACCATTTCCAGTTATATGAGTTAGCCAATTTATACTAAGTTGTTTGTTATCTTTTGCTTCAGATAGATTATTTCTTTTCAGCAAGTCCTTTTAGACTCCTGTAATGTTTATTGATACAGTTATACAAGCATAGACAATTTACAGTAGGAAAAAAAAATGAAAAGCCTTTTTCAGGTACAGTTTTACATCATTTCCATGAGCAAATTAAGTTGTCTAAGAAAAAAAACCTTTTTTTTTTTTTTCCTCTAGTGTAACTTCATAGACATTAGGGCTTTTGGTAGCATAGCAATGATGACAAAAATATAATAAATCCCTTTCTAACACAGCTGTGCCAGCAAGACTAAAGCCTTAGCATCAATGAGATTGAACTACTTCATACTTCAGCAACATTTAGATCTATTGATGTTTCAATTTCTAGAAACATTACAGGCTTTTCCCCTCACAGCACAATGCATCTTCCTTGGTTACTGGGCTTTGTCTTGCTCCTGTCCACACTCTGGTAACTCTGGGTGTGCTATGTAACCTTTCCAATATCAAGTATGTATCCTCACTAAAACCATTTAAATTTTGGATATTATATATAGTTGGTTTTTTTTTAAACTTTATTGCCATCATGCAGACAGATGTTCCACAATTTCCCCTGGGCCCCCAGCCCGTTTATAGCCAACTCTAACTCGCTCCTAGGGAATGCAGTAGTAAACACCGCCCCACATGCCTGCAATGTACGTTTGCTTTGGTTACGTCTTTCCCTTCTGCTTTATAATGCACAACATAAATCAAATGCATCCAGTTTCCAAAGCTGTGCTTCCACTTTGAACATATCAGGAGGTAAACACCACAGACAGCTCTTTTTTTTTTTCTTCTGTAATTAAGAGAAAAATTCTTACCATGCCCAATGAAATCCAGACAGTTTCAGTGTAGATGCCTGAAAAAAAGAAAACAGTCTTTAAAAGACAGCCTTTTGCTCAGTGAAGCTTTAACTCTGAAGAAACTATTGCCAGCATAATTCTATAGGTTGAGTTAAATAAATAAATACTTATCTGATTAATTGTTGCCTGGAATCCTTTTGTGCTTGTATCTCTTGAGTTAGAGGCCACATTAAAAAAAAAAAAAAAAAAAAATGCACAGGAGATTTGAAATCTGAGGACAACCTAAAGCTTGATTCTAAGAAATCTCAGTGCACCAGCACTTTCCTGTGGTGTGGGTGAGACAGGTTTAGTCCTCAGGTGTGACACAGAGCATTCTGTTGCAATCCAAAATTGCAAGGAGAGCCAACTAGAAAGCAACGTATTAAGCACATACACTGCACATATTACTGTACTCTCAATGAAAAGAAAATCAGGTGTTTCAATACACAGGTTTTATTCAGGTCAGCTGCATTTCAGTCCCTCTGAAAAGCTACAGCAAATGCCTAGATACAAAGATGATCACCATTTAGAGATTATTGCCAGACATCAACATCATCGTTATTCACATGTTGGTGCAATGCTAACATACTTTGTGTAGGCATTAAGACAAAAAGACCCTTGGAGAGTATCAGAATACCTTTGCAAATTAGGAGTTCATCCAGTACACATTTTCTTTCACCTCAATCTTTTGTTTAAAATTCTTCTGCCTCTCTTTTCTGCAAGGGCACTCTCTGAATTCTTTTCATAAAAGCTCAGAATGATTTTTAAGGGAAGCAACTGCTTTTTTGTTTTTTTCTTTTTCTTAATATGCATATGCAATACTTAGCACAAGATGAGTGTAATTACACAGGAAAAGACAAATGGGACAGGCACAGAGGCTGAGGAAGTCAGTTACCCTGCCTATACTCATAATTTACACTTTTTCCTTCTCTGATAAGAGCCAACAGAGTCCCAACCCTTGGGCCTTCCCAGCTCCCAGCAATCTCTTCATTTTTGTACACAATTGTCACCAAGAGAGTGTTCTTTAAGGAATATGTCCAAACACCATTGTCAGCATGTGAACTTTTGGCATCTACAATATCCCGGGGCAATTTCACAGCTAGAGGAAGACGTTTTTCTTGTTTCAAACTTGTCACCTGTTTTAAACTTGTCACCTAGCCATCCACCTGAGGCTGCCTGGATCCCATGGCATAGGAAAGTGAGTAGCTGTTTTCCATTTGCTTTCTCCTTGCCACCTGACAGTTTACAGCCCTTCATTTTCTTCCTGATCAGACAGGAGGTTGAAATTCCTGAAGTGTGTAGCTGTTTTCCATATAGGAGACACCCACAACTTTTATCAACGTTTTCTGTATTTTCTCTGCATTTCCAGCATCTCTTGTGAGATGAATATTATTTTATTTATTTATTTAATATATATTTAATATATAATAATATATTATATTATTTATTTAGACATAAGGAAGAACTTTTTCTCTCAGAGAGTGGTCAGGCACTGGAATGGCTGCCCAGGGAGGTGGTGGAGTCGCCGTCCCTGGCAGTGTTCAAGAGGTGTCTGGACGACGTGCTGTGTGATGTGGTTTAGTGCTTGTGGTGGCAATGGTGATGAAGAGACGGTTGGACTGGATGATCTTGTAGGTCGTTTCCAACCTTGTGATTCTATGATTCTATGAAGGAGTAAAGATGCAATATCCAAGAGCAATGTGCATTTATATTCTAGTGTAAAGATATTTCAATTTTGTTCATGAGCACTTTCCCATTCATCAGTGCTTTTTTTATTTTCCCTTATTCCTCCTGCACATTCAACATACATTTTTGTACACTTTTATAACCCAAGGTTTCTTCCCAAGTGATAACTTAGGTTCTGTCGCTGTGTATTTTGGTTTAGGATCTTCTCCTACTCTGCACCATTCTACATCCACCAACACTGAACTGCAGCTGCTGAGTCACCCTGCATCACCTTGCATTGTGAGGCACCCAGTACATCCTCACCTCAGTTACCCTCTCTGATGAGGAATCACCAGGAGGCTTCTCTGTCTTGTTAGATCTGTTACAGGAGCAGGCTGAACTGCACCAGTCTGGATAGAGAAATCTCCGGTCACTCCACCCTTTTAGGAAAGCTGGTTCCCAAACTGAAGTGATTACTAATCCACATAAGGAGCTTGCAAGAAAACCTTAGTACTTTGATTATACCAGAGTCACAAAGGTTGTGAAGTGTAAAAATCTTTGTCACTGGCCAATCTTTCTCTAAAACAACCCTTGTCTTACACATACCAAGCTTGTACCTTCTTAAAACAACAGCCCCCATCTATACCCTCTAATAACTCCTCCCCAGCTGCAGGAACTATCCACTCTGTGTGGAATGCCTCTTGCGCCTTTCAAGAGGTCTTTTCCCATCACTTTCTCTTTAATCTTTAATTCTCCCACTAAACAGAAAGGCCAGCTGTGTCCCTTGGGATTATCACTGGTTGTGGGCTGCTAATGCTTGATTCCTGCTGGCACAGTTAAGGCAGGGTATGGAGCAGGAGACACTGTCTCTGCAGAGCTTTTCCACACAGTCCATCTGCAAAGACTTTATTCCTGATCTTTCTTATATCAGAAAAACTGTAGTGCTTTTCTCCCATTTTCCTCCTGCTTGTACATGACACAGCAGAGTACACTCCTGCACAGGTTGAACAATGGTGCTTGTTCTTTCACTGGCTGGGCTATATTTTAAATGACATGTTTACACAAACCCTCTGGTTTTGAATGTCATTCAAACAACACAATGCCACATACGGTTTCCCACTGTTCAAGAGCAGTGCGAAAGTCCCAATTTAGACTCTGAGGCCCACCAAATAAAAAGGAATGCAAAGCATATGTTCCAAGGCCAAGCTCAGCAAATGTAGGCTGTAGAAGTTCATAGGAAGAGTGAAAACATGAAGACTGATTACTAAATACTACAGCAGATGAGTAAGTCTAATTTTCTAAACAAAGATATTTGGCTCAAATATAATCTCAATGACATTTCAGGGGACTTAGATCTGGTGAGTACCTTTGAGAGTAATAAAGAAGACAATTCTTATTCCACTATGAGAACTTCATTTCTAATTATTTGGATCAAGCTGGCTACTCTGAATCAGCAAGTGCAACACCCAGGTGTGGCAAAAAGCAAAACAACAGCACTGCAGTCACCGACAGCAATCCTGCCCCAGCCAAGAACAACCCCATTATGGCTGGGCCAACACGTGGGGCAATGGCTGTGCTACAAAGAGAAGCTGCTTTAGGAGCAGGATCTCCACCATTTTAAGCACATCCATGGCCCAGAGATTCCCATGTCAGCCCAAAGCTGGATGGTGCTCGCAGTGTTGTGGATGGAGTGGTGTCTGCTTAGGCTCCACAGTGCCATTTACCAAGGTACTGCATTAGGAACAGGAAAGAAGAGCTCATCAGCTATAGAGTCAGAAACATCAAGAAAAAAAAAAGAAAAAAAAAAGGTAAAACTTGAACACAATACTTGAACAAAATTCTCTGTAAGATTCTGGTTCTGCTTCTCCAGCAGAGCTCTACGCATCCTATCCTTACCATACAAAAGTAGTCGGTACTTTCACTTCCCAGGAGCTTATGCCAGTGACTGGTCAACAGCACAGGTGAAGGATGCTCTTATTCATTTCACACACCCTCTAGATTTCCCCCCGGGCAGAAGTGGAAACCCCAATCTTCCCTTTTCTAGGAAACAAAGACTTTGGGAAGAGAGCAGCCAACCCCTTGCCAGCATGCCTGGGACTGCATCTACTGCAGCGCACGTTGCTTCCCCAGGACACAGTGCAGCAGGGAGCAGGGAGTGGATTCAGCCCAGCTCATTCACCATTTAAAAATTAATGGCAAATGCAGCCTCTCTAGCTATAGATCAGTCACTCTGGAAACTAATGTCAGCCCTCCAACTCCTGTTCCTATTACAGCGTTAATCTTAGAGGTTAATCCGCACACCAGCAGGTGCATGAAGAGGCCTGCTGGCTCTACCAGGGGGCTGGTTTTCACTCAGATCACATACACAGAAAGGTAAATGCAACACACCAATACGCATGTTCCACTATCAAAGCCTGACTTAGAAGTGTCAAATTTTTAATATCACATACTTATTTACTGACGCCTGCCTTAGTAGGCATATGTAACCTAATACTGTATTTTACTGATATTGCAGATGGTATAACCAATCTCCTAAACCCTCCACACTCTCAGAGGATTAGTATGATGTGTAGAGCAGTTTTAGCTTACAAAGCACTACTTTAGTGTGTAGGGTTATTGATTTAACTTAGAAATTCTGCTATATAGTGTAGTTTTACTGATTTACCTTTTACAGTAGTGTAAGAATATCTTTTCTCCCCTAAAAACTTTGACACACTTCATTATCCAATACAAAATATTGCTCTGGGTAGAATTTCAAGGCAGGCATTCAGTAATCAAAATTATGGACTTTCTGAAAAATTCTGTGTTGCAGGTCTCCTCCCTCCTTACTCATGTCTTTTTTTACTAAATAAAGTGGTACACTCCTAAGCTTTTTAGCTATAAATTTCTCAGAGAAGCACCCACAGTTATATACCAGCACACCACCTCTCCTCTTCTAGCCTCAAGGTTCAAGTCAGAAATCTACTTTGACATAGGACAGATACTGACTCAGAGGGGAGAGTTTTTCTCTCATTTGAAATACTTCCCAGATGTGTTGAAACGTTTTTTTTCCTCCTCAGCCATAATAGCCATCCAGTCTCCTCTCCTTTTGATTGCTGTAGGGATCTCCTCTCTGCCACCCGTCCCAGCTCACACAGTTGCAGCATATATGGGAAGCTGCAGTCAAATGCTGCGTACAAATGGCAACAAAAAGATAATCCTCTGACATCGCTAAAGCTTAGTTTGAAAGTGCATTTTAAAAACAAGTCCAAACCCCAGGAACACTGCCTGTGGCATTTTTCTACCCTTTCTTTCAACTGTTTCTGCAGCCATGCAACTCTAGCTCTGGTCTGTTCTGCACCACTCTCCTCTT